GTGCTCCAGAACTCTGGGAGGAGTAAGCTATTAGATTGGTTTCACAATTTCAGCATTAAAACTCTCTGTCTTTTGGCTCCTTTATTTATGAAATATTGTGAATGGATGATGTTACGGAGATCAATTCAGGTTCAGATTTGGTTTTGGGAGAATTTCAGAAAAAAGGCAATATAGTTATATATGTTATAGTCTGCTTATGGTTTGGATACCGTGTCTTAAAGAGCGAGAGATCCTGCTGGATGTGGAGATAAGACATAATTTGAATACTAACATATCCATTGAATGCAGCTCTGGAATGACAAAACTAACGTGTGGCCATGGAATGTGGGGGAAATATTTTTTTATGGTTTTCAAGGGTAGGAAATGGGTGGCATTTGCATTTGGAATGAAATCCCCAAATTTTGAAAGTCCTCCTGATGCTAAACACTGGAAAGAACATCGGTTTGAACCAACCAGAGTTTCATTTTTTGTATGTGTATGTTTATATATTTATGCGTCTATATCTATATATTGCTATATAATCTTCAGTTAAATGAAAACAAAGAGTATTTGAAATATGGAAACGAAATATTTAAATGCCACATGAACTAGGTCTTCTCTCTCAGACATATTTTAATTGTCTGTAGCCTAAATCCTGATCGTGTTGGAGTAGGCATTTCATTTGTTCAAAAGAGGTGCCTTCTGTTTTGCCGGTCACATCTAATCATCATCGTTAAGCACCACAGATACGTTTCTTAACTTTTAAATCCTCCACTTCAGATTATTTTCAATAGTTTTTAACATCAAATATAACATCAAACAGTTGACACACTGCTTTATCCTGCAGGGCCCTTAGACAAATGGGTAATTTTATAGTGCCACAGTAAAAGGCTGTTAGAATTTAATGATGTATACAAAATATCAGGTGGTTTTAGCGACCAAAGTGAGTGAGTTGATGTTGGGACTATAATGTTACATTTTTGTTTTTTTCTGTTATCGTTATTGATCCTGTCCGTTGCTTCCGTTGCCACCAACGGAAATGCTCCTGATAGACCTTAAGGGATGGAAGGTACCAGTGATGAGCTTAATCCACAGCTTTTGTTGGCTTTGCAGAAATACAGGAGCTACACTTCCCAAATATTGATGTTTCTCATCTCCCAGTGAGGCTTCTCTTTTCAGTTTACAGAATCACAGAATGATCTGGGGTTCTTCTTCTTGTTTTGAAAACCCAACTAGTTAATGTACCTTTTAAACTGGTTTTTGGGTTGGTTTTTTTTTTGGTTTTGTGGGTGGTTTTTTTTTTATGACTACACAAACTTTTAGAAATAAAAGGATGGAACAACTGGAATTAACGACCTCTACAAAAATGTATTTATTTAGTATTTCACCAGTATGATGATAACTGGTGGGGTGACTTACAGGTAATTGCAGGTGGAGGCAAAGGAGCGAAGTCTGTAGGAAAAGACAAGGAAAATAACATTAATGACTGAGAAATGGATCAAAGCCAGAATTGCAAATCCCCATTTTGGGGGGATTTTTCACTGCTGAGAATAGTTATCAGACCCCCAATTTAGCGACCAAATAACTGTTCAGAAGGTAATGGAGGTGACAGTAAACTGCTGAAAGGAAAACACGGGTCAACGCACGGATCCAGTAGCACTTGAGACACATTCAGAGTATCTTTGCTTATTTCTTTTTAAAGTACGTTGTAAGTGGTAAAACAACAGGTGAACAGTTGGCAGTGCTTCCCTTACGAATCTATGCACTAATATTTATTTTTAAGCCTACAAAAATGTGTGCGCTGCTGCGTGAGGTTAAAAAAGGAGGAGGTTGTCCAGAAGTTCTTACTCAGCTGGAGGTTCTCTTGATTTCACTGGGGGTTTCTCCTGTGTTGAGATGCCAGTTCATCTCTCTTGGAAGGCAAATGCACTTTGAAAAGTTGTTAATGTTAAAAAAAAAGAAAAAAAAAAAAAAAGAAAAATAGAGGGTGAATGTGTGTATTTCTTCGAGCTGCTGATCCCCTTCCACAGCTTCTGTCTAGTAACAGACTAGCGAGAACAGATTTTTTTATTATTATTTTTATTTATTTTTTTTATTTTCCAGATTGAAAGAAATGAGTAGGATTTATAATTGCAATTGGCTGGAAGTGCCATGGGGAGATGGAGATTTAGGTATTGTATGACACTTTGTGATTTCTCGTTAACTCCGCCTGTTAATAGAATGGATGTGCCTGTTCTTGCCTCTTGGTGTTTACAAAGTGATGTCGGGTGCCCTCCCCGGGAGCTGGAAACTAAACGTGGCTTCTAATTATAGTTTGGAGAGACTTTGTATTCAGCATCTGTCAGAGACCACGTCGGGGGGAATTAATGCATTAACAGGTTTGGGATAGTCTATACTCGCTAATTCTGCCCTTACGGGCAACAGCCAAGGAAATGGGTTTATATTCTCGTTTATATTCTCATTAATGCATTCCAGGGGAGAGACATAGCCAGTGTGGAGCTCAGCAGAAGGCAGCAATCAAGACAGAGAATTTATTTTAAGGCACCTTTGATGTTTATTTATGCCACATATTTATTTGGAACACATACTGATGGGATTTACTGATGAATTACTATGGGGTTTGATAAATCAATATGAACGTGGGGGTTTTTTTTCAAAACTTGGTTTGCACAAAATCTTTCTCTGCAGCATTTTGCTTGTGGATTGTATTTCTGGTGGAGGTGCTACGAGCATTTTGTTGTTGAGTGGATTTAGCAGAGACAGCTCCTGCTGGATGTCTCTACGTGAAGACCTTGGGGATTTAAGGTGGGTCGAGGAGCAAAAAAAGAGCTCACAGGGGGGTCTGGCAGCGTTTGACTCCCAAATGTCACTGGAGTAATGACATCAGCAGCCTCTCTGCTGAGCCATCCGAGAGGGAAGGAGGTGAAGGAAAGGAAGGTGGGAAAAACATTGCTTTCAGATTCTACCTGCATTTTTGTTCTGCTTAGAGTTACATGTGCCTTCTAAAATGTCCAAGGTCTGAGTGTATTTAATGGGCATAAAAACTTCATGACACAACTTTCTTAGATGTTTTTCTCTAGAATAAAGTGTCTTTTTCCCCCCTGTTAATTTAGTAGTAGGATAAACTCTCAAGAAATAGAGGTTCTCAACTGTAGAGATGGGGACAAAATTTCAAAGGCAGCCTCTAAATCCAGTTTTTAATTATTTGGGGGGGGAGGATTCTTTGCAGCTGCTGGCAGGAAAGATTCATGGATCTAATGGATCTAATGGATCTAATGAACCTACCACAGGATAAGTATGTTTGAGTTTATTGGGATGACGCAGAAAATACTGGTGCTTTGTAAAAATCCGGTCACTTGAAGATTTCTGAGCTCAGTTTTTGTAGAATAATACCCCTTAAAATCCCAATCACCTTGGATTTTTAAGATCAGGTTTACAAAGCTTTCATCTCCTGTATTTTTTCACTTCTGTGATCCGCTTTAAGATAATTTAAGTTCTCATCATCTCCTGTATTTTTTCACTTCTGTGATCAGCTTTAAGATAATTTAAGTACTCGGTTGGGCTTTTGTTTTGCTGAGTTTTTTATCCAGTAGCTTCCAGTGGTGCTGAGTTCTGCAGTATAGTTATATATTCTGTGAGAAGATGCACTCTTACATCCCAGTCAGTTTATTTTCACTAACACCTCTAGGAAAAACGGAGGGTTTATCCCAATTTCCATATTGTGCCCTATTTGGTATGTTTTTCTTTTCAGCTCGAGCAGCCTTAGCCTTTTTGGCTCTTCATGTGGTTTGAGGGGGTGGTTTATTGTAACCAAAAGTGGACTTTCTGGCCCAGGCTGGTGGACAGAAGGGCTCCAGTAAGAAACAGAAGCAGGGTCTGTTTCTGATGAGTTGTTAATTAGAGCTTGGGCTGGTGACTGAGCAATAGCCATCTCGTTTGGAATTCATTTGCAGACAGTCCTGGTCCATGGCCATTGTTACCAATTCCTCATATTTAGTTAATTCTCTCTGCCTTTTTGGGGGGATTTTGGGGGACTTGAAATAACTCACACAAGTGATTCTATTAGAATTTTACCGTTCCGGTGATTTTCTTCATATGGGAATAAATACGGGTTATTCATAATGTGTGTTGAAGATGGTTCTTCCTCACACAGTCTCTTGTAACTTTGATTTGCAAAATAATGGGTACAATAAATTGGTCTCAGCTGCGCCCACAGCCCTGGCAGGCTGGAAGGGGCTGGCCAGTGGCCAGTCTGCTGGAGGAAAGGGCAAGTTCTTCATTGGGAGTCCCAGGGTGGCCCTGGGACCTGGGCTGGGAGTTGAGGGGGGAAATGTGCACAAAGATGGGTTGTTTATTGGGTTTTCTTTTATTTGTCCTTTCTTTTTGGGGGGTTGATAAATTAAAATAAGTGCCAAACCTTTACGTTGAACACATTAACTATTTTTAGCCCCAATAGCATATTAGAATGAGAATTTAAACTTAATATCCTGTTTCTACTATAGCAGTTTTTCAGTGTGATTTTCTATTTTGTTTCTGTCTTTGCTCTTGTGTAGAAGCTGCAGATTAATCTCATCGTATGTAAGGGTTTCCCTATTGATTTTCATGTACATCAGCTTTTCAGGCAGGTTTATGTCTGGTTTAAGTTCAAATATCAATTTGTTCAACTCTATAAAATTCTATATGCCAGCTGCAACAGTAAGTTACATGATTTTATTAAATAACCAAAGCAAAAATAGAAGTGGAAAATATGGCAATTGGCAAATTTATTAAATCAGCTCACTGTAATCAGTATATCAATATGTTCTTTGTACCGTGTCATTATTTATTATAGATGCTGACAGTTAATGATGGGGCTTTTATTGTCTGGAAACTGATCGTTTGACATACGGGCTCTAAAGAGGAAAAATAACTTCACAGGGCGTTTGACTTCATTCTGTGCATTTTACTTTCTGCTTTGCTCTGTGCATTCCAAAATCCTTCTGATTGCCGTGGTTTACTCAATGAATGTTGTTATTATATAGGTTCTTGGGCAGATCGCTCACCTCTGCATGAGGCAGCCAGTCAAGGACGTCTTCTTTCTCTAAAGACTTTATTGTCACAGGTGAAGGCCGTGTTCTTAAAATCGCTTTCGTTCTTAATGTTACTTAATTTCTCAGCATAGTCTATTAATGCACATGTAGCATGCTTTGCTTTTTCACTTGAATTTTTCAGAGCAATAGCCATTTAGGGAGTTTTTTATGCCCTAAGCTCTGAGTTAATATATAAAACATTTTCTCTGTTGTATGTTTTAAAACTTCTCCCCGAAAAAGACCTTTACTAAAGCGGTATCTAAACGTGCATCAGTCTCCCCCTTGCAGGCAGTGGAGCTCCAGTGCTTTAAGCCCTCCGGTAAATAGTGTCAGGAAAATCACTCAAAGAGTCTGGGTTTTCCATAGTTGTGATTTAAAGCAAATATATTTGGCTAATAGCAAAGGGAGAGACTGCTAAATTTTGTTATTACAGTATTGTGGTAAGAGCTACTGAAAAATTGTCCTCCAGAATGTATTTGATGAAAGCCAGCAGCTGCAATTGTTAGTTCTTAAAGAATCCAAATTCAAGGGCTTGATGATTGTATCAATGCAGGAAGTGTTTTCCTCCCCAAAATTCGTGGCTTTAGCCCTTTCAGGCCTTAAGTCAGAGAATCGTGGAATCCCAGGACAGTTTAGGGTCAGGGCCCTGTTGGGTTTTAAGGATCTCCGGGGTGGAGCTGCCCCAGCCCCTGTGTCCCCTGGGCCAGGAGGGTCTCACTCTCCCCACCAAGACATTTTTTTCCATATAATTAATTGGAATTTACCACTTTCCAACTGCCTCTGTTTCCTTTTGTCCTCTCGCTGTGCCTCCCAACAGTCTGTTTCCATCTTCTTTACACCCTCTATATCCCATTCCCACTTCTGATTTCAAAAATAAAGAAGAGCTGACAACTTCTGTTACTTACATTGATTGATTGAAAGACTCTTTTACTGCTCACTACTTTATTGCAAATAGAATTTTAAGCCTATTTTAGAGTATTGTAAATGATTCATTGGAATGGTAGTGTGAGAGAAGGACTCTTGACAGCTTTTGTGGGATTTTTAAATGTCATTCATGTCTCCTTTAGGGGTACAATGTGGACACCCTAACCATTGACCAAGTGACTCCGCTCCATGAAGCCTGCCTGGGAGACCACGTGGGATGTGCAAGAATCCTTCTGGAAGCAGGAGCAAACGTAAGGGTGGTGTTTTTTCTCTCTGTGAAGTCCAATGACAACCTTGGTTCAACCAAGAAGGGTACAGTCCTTGATTATTATTACTTTTTTAGTTGGTATTTCTCTACTCGCCCTATCGGTTGCGTTGATCTCATTTAATTACAATAAGCTGCCATCTGAAAGCTACCAAGGGAATGTGACAGGTCAAAGAAACATCATTAGAGAGATGTTAAAAGAAGAAAGAACCAGCCAACCAAACCATATAATTAGATGTGTAAGAGTAGATACCAAACAGAAGAAGAGTAACAGGGAAAATAGACGGGAGCTGGGCAGACACAGAGACATCAGCTGGGAGCATCCACTGGTAGTGATTCCTTCTTCCACCAGCCTTATTTCTTCCCCCAATTTCATTGCATTATTTCTCTTCTAAAATGTGGAATGTGTCCCTCTCCTTTGCTGGTTTCCCCTTGCTTTGGAAGAGGCGGTTCTTTTAATCTCCAGAATATCTTCTGTCACACTGCACTTTTGTGCTCTTAATGATTTTTGTGATCCGAGTACAAAAAAACAGTTTTTTTTTTTTTTCTGTACTCCTGACACAGGCTTGTCCCAACCAAAAATGGGTCTTTGCTGACATCAGAGTTTGAATGCATTGTTTCCCAAATCTCTCATCTTTGTGATGGAAATATTTATTGTCCTTACAATTCAGTTTTGAGAACCGTGTAGAAAATGTCTTTACAGAAAAATGAAAAAGGCACAGATGTTTTCCTGAAACAATTCCTCTCCACTTCAGCCAGCACAAGGGTTCTAAACACACAAAATTATAGATTCTATAGACAAAACTATAAGAATAAATTTCATTTTCATATGTGAATTGTTTCACTACTTCTAATTGTTTTGATGGGTTTGGGGGGCATAGAAGAGGATAGGCCAGACTCCTAGAAGGAGCTCTCTCAAAATACCTGTCCTCCTTCCTGTGTCGTATAATTGTTTTGATGGGTTTGGGGGGCATAGAAGAGGATAGGCCAGACTCCTAGAAGGAGCCCTCTCAAAATATCTGTCCTCCTTCCTTTATCATAAATGGTTTGGGTTGGGAGGGACCTTGATGCCCCCCCATTGCCACCCCCTGCCCTGGGCAGGGACACCTCCCACCACACCAGGTTGCTCCAAGCCCTGACCAAGAGTCCCTCCCCATCTCTCCTGGAGCCCCTTGAGGGACTGGAAGGGGCTCTAAGGTCTCCCTGGAGCCTTCTCTTCTCCAGGCTGAACCCCTCCATCCTGTGAAGTATCACTCCCACCTGGAGATTAAAACCATAGAAGAAAATGGCAAATAAATAATTCTCACATCTAATGAGAATTTTGCATTTTGGACAGCACTATGGGGAGGTGTCACCGTTACTCCACCAGGTGTAAATTTCCTGTTTCAGTGCAATGCCTTTGGAAAATTGTTTATTGCCCAGATGCTAACGTGTTTTTTAGTATTCCAGGTGGATTTTGCATTTTGGACAGCACTATGGGGAGGTGTCACCGTTACTCCACCAGGTGTAAATTTCCTGTTTCAGTGCAATGCCTTTGGAAAATTGTTTATTGCCCAGATGCTAACAGGTGCTTTTTAGTATTCCAGGTGTATTTTGGTTTATTCAACATAGTTTAACAGGAAAAACAGTGAACTAATTCCAGCTGAAGGGTGTGGTGATAGGAGGACCGGCACAGGGACTGAGAAGTTAAACTACATTGTTCTAACCAGTCATTTTTTGGTATTTTAATGACATTTCTAATTATATCCTGTTTAAAAAAAATTGCCTTTCTTCCCATTCCATCCTTAAGTAGATTTTTGTGTGTTCCAGGTCAACGCTACCACGATTGATGGGGTGACGCCTCTCTTCAACGCGTGCTCCAGAGGCAGCGCGGCCTGCGCCGAGCTTCTGCTGGAGTATGGTGCCAAAGCCCAGTGGGAGTCCTGCCTGCCCTCCCCCACCCACGAGGCCGCCAGCAGAGGTGAGGGATCACCCGCTGGGCAAGCACGGAGCGGTTGCCCAAAATCTCAAGAATTTAAGATGGTTTTGTCCATGAGAAAAGTTAGTGAGGTCGAGGAAAGCTGGATGGAGAATGGATTGAGAGCAGCCCCGAGGAGAAGGACTTGGGGGTGTTGGTGGGTGAGAAGCTCCACATGCCCCGGCAACATGCACTGGCAGCCCAGAAACCCCCCACACCCTGGGCTGCACCCCCAGCAGCGTGGCCAGCAGGGCAAGGGGGGGGATTCTGCCCCTCTGCTCCGCTCTGGGGAGACCCCCCCAGTGCTGCCTCCAGCTCTGGGGCCACCAACAGCAGAAGGACATGGACCTGTTAGAGCAGGGCCAGAGGAGGCCCCGGAGATGCTGGGAGGGCTGGAGCCCCTCTGCTGGGAGGGGGGGCTGAGAGAGTTGGGGGGGTCAGCCTGGAGAAGAGAAGGCTCCGGGGAGACCTTAGAGCCCCTTCCAGTCCCTCAAGGGGCTCCAGGAGAGATGGGGAGGGACTCTGGATCAGGGAGGGGAGCCCTAGGAGGAGGGGGAAGGGTTTGACACTGAAAGAGGGGAGATTGAGGTGAGATGTGGGGAAGAACTTGTGTGCTGTGAGGGTGGTGAGAGCCTGGCCCAGGTTGGCCAGAGAAGCTGTGGCTGCCCCATCCCTGGAGGGGTTCAAGGGCAGGTTGGAGGGGGCTTGGAGCAACCTGGGCTGGTGGGAGGTCTCCCTGCCCAGGGCAGGGGGTGGCACTGGGGGGGCTTTAAGGTCCCTTCCAAGTTGAACCATCCCATAATTCTATGAAACTGCTGTGCTTTGTCCCAACAGGTCACAGCGAGTGCCTGGAGGTGCTGATCTCCTGGGGCATCGATGTCGACCAAGATCTTCCTCACCTGGGAACACCTCTGTACGTTGCCTGTGTCTCACAGCAGATCCACTGCATCCGGAAGCTTCTCTATGCAGGTACGTCATGATTTTAATAAAAATATGACTATTTTGTTAAATACAAAAAGTGTATATTGAAGGTGCTCAGTGCAGCCAGGACCCTTTCTTGCAGGGCTCGACTTCGGAGCTCATTGTGATGTGTGTTTTCTTATAATAACATACTATTTCTTTCATTCATAGCAAGTGTTTGAAGGGAAAAGGGAAAAAAAACCAAAAAGAATGGGTGTTCAGAGTTTTCAGCACCTACAAACACATTGTAGATGTTCGTTTTCTTTAGGAAAACTGAAAAAAAAAATAAATCAGCTTTGAGAAAGGAATTTTATAAGGTAATCACTGAGTTTTCAGCAAACTTTTATCAGATGTAGTCCCACCTTTTCATTCCTGAGCGTGTTCTGATGGAGCTTGTTGCCAGGAGCAGGGGCTGAGCTGAGGAGGGGTTAGGAAAGGGGCATTTGATCAGGAATTTCACATTATTTATTTAATCAAGGGAAAAGAAGGGCTTTTTTACAGCACCAGTCCCGGGACACAACCCACAGGGTCGTTTTGCTGTGGTTTAGTTAATGAGATCCAGGGGTTTTGTGTCCTGCAGAACAACAAATGAATGAGTGAATGAATGAAAAAATATATACGAATAATGACAAATGGGCTGTCATTGCACCAGAGTCGTTTTTCTGCTTAATTCTGCTTTTTTGCCGGTTGTTTAGAACTTGAGGGAGCAGTTAAATTTGTCATTAAGTCTGTCTCCTTCTGTGATTATTCATGATTTTTATGTTTAAGAATTGCAGAAGTGTAATTGGCATATTTGGGGATTCAAAGCTTATTCAAAACAGTACCAGAAGGGCATATTCTGCATTTCTGGGCGTAGAAAATGGCATGTAAATTGAGAATATAAGGAACTACTGTTCTGTGGATTGGGAGAATTAATGATTTGGGTTTTTTTTCCCCGATTGGCTTTCCGGACTGCATACCCTGCCTTAATTAACATCATCTTCTTTATAGGAAAATCCTTGATAAGGGCTGGATGGGGTGGGAATCCCTTTCAAACCCTTCACCAGCTCCAACACATCAAAAACTATAAAGGGTCCAAGTTTGAACCCATCTTGAGCTGTCGCACTGACAAAAATATAAATACTGACCTTTTTAAAGACTTAAAAATAATAATATAAATACTGGATTCTTTTTTGAAGACTTTAATGGGGAAAGGACATTTTTATGCAGCAGAAATTTTCTTCCATGTGTACAAAATGTGCTTTTTTTGTTTATCATTAGGGCAGCAGTGATGCTCACGTGACCTAGTGTGATTTTTCTTTCCCTTCTTTTTAAAAAGTATTTTATTTCACTGGATTTTCACTGAAAAAAATTATTTTATCCTTTAAAATCTTCAAGGTCCCTTCCAACCTAGAAGATTCTGTGATTCTGTGCTTAGGTAATAAAACCCAGGAGAAGTGTATGGATTAAAAAATAACCACTGGTACCATTAGTTATTGTGCCACGCCATGAAATTAATCAAGTGGCTAAATTCTCTGTTTGAGGGCTGGTTTGGTTTGGTTTGTAGCGTCTTTGCTCCAGGAGGATGTTGCTGTAATCCCTTTATGTCCCCTCTGCCCCCCCAGGTGCCAACGTGCAGAAAGGGAAGCACCTGGAGACGCCGCTGCACGCGGCCGCCCAACATTCCAGCACGGAGATCGTCAACCTGCTCCTGGAATTTGGGGCTGACATCAATGCCAAAAACACGGATTTGGAGCGGCCGGTGGATTTAGCTGCCCCCAGCAGTTTAGTGGAGAGGCTGCTGCTCCTCCACGAAGGTAACTTTACACCTCTTTCTTTTGGCAACCAGAACTTGAATTCTTAAACATCCTCCCCCTAAAAAACCCCCCCCACCACCCAAAAATATGATAGAAACCACCATTGGGCTCTATGGAATGAATATATTAATATTCAGGTAAATTCCTAATAATAAAATTACCCAATAATATTTAGTCTCAGGCCTTTGACCCAGCACCATCAGAATTTATAGAGGCTGAAGAAGCATCATCTCCTGTTTGTTGGCTGTTGATGCGACTAAAGCTCCATTTTCATTGGCAGTTGCAGACCTTGTTAAAAAGAAACAAGATATTTTCATTTCAGATTAAAAATAGATTTAAGTTTTACATATTATAGTTTTGGGCAGCTGTCCCAATATTGTTAAAAATCTATTTTTAAGTTGCGGATAAAGTGCTTTATTTTGATTGTAGGCAAAACTTTTTAAAAGATTCATTTTCTAAATTTTCTTTACTGAATTTTAAGTACCTGAGGAATAGGAGTCGACACTTGAGAGTCCCTTAAAACTCTTAAAAGCCTGTCAACTTAGAGAATATCCCAAAAGGGAAGGGGATTTGTTCAGACTGACCTACGTAGGGCAGAAAAATAAGCAATAATAAACCAGTTGGTTGTCACAAAATTACTCAAGACTCACAGGATTTAAAAATAAAATTTAAAAGATGTCAAAAAAAGGAATTGGTGTGAAACAGGTATGGATTTATTGCCCAGAGACGTGTTAAAAAGAAAATTAAATTAAAAAATTAAAAGAAATTAAACTAATTTCTTTTAATTAAACTAATTTGTTTTTGTTTGCAGCCACCCCGGCGTCTCTGTGCCAGCTCTGCCGTCTCTGCATCCGAAATTACCTGGGGAGGGCCCGGCTCCACCTCATCCCCCAGCTCCAGTTGCCAACGATACTGAAGAACTTCTTACAGTACAGATAACCCCCTCGTTAACCCCTAGAAAAATTAACTAACGAATCCTTTTTCTTCTTTCTGTTTATCGTACGTTTTTCTCTCAAGAACTGCTGGGCGGGGAAAAAAAAAAAAAGTAGCCTTTTGCATATTACTTAAAACCAAATAATCTTTCTCTTTGCCAGGTGGTGTTGGTATAATATAATAATTGGGAGCCATTCAGCAGCTGGTACCAAGGTGCTAATTAGGCTGAATTGAGTAATTGTGCTGATGCTCGGGAAGTGATTGTGTAGCTTTAGCTTAACCCTCACTAAATAGCTTTAGTGCTCTTCACTTTTAATTGTATTTATACTTTTAAAATCTGTTTGACACCCCCCAACCCCGGAGAGCGGTTGTTATTTGTTAAGTTTGTCCCTTCGGAGTCATTATTTTATGTGTTTTTAAATTTCTATTCTTCGTGTACCTGAGAACACTCGGTGAGAGGTGCGCTACGTACATTGATAAAATAAAACAAATACAGGCCAAGTCTTTCTTTTTCTCTTTATATCAATGATTCCTTAGTGAGAGGGAGAAATTTATTTTTTCTCACTGCTGTGAACATAATTTTTTCAGGGCTGCACTGTTTGTAGGTTCTCTGTTTATTGCCACAATTGGTAAGTTTAGAAAGCCCAGAGGAATATTCCTCAAAAGCCTTAATGCTTGGACTCCTCTTGAGCTCCTCTTGTAAAATGGAATTCTCTGGGCTCCTTCCTCACCCTTTCCTCACCCCGCTGAATCACAGCTCGTGGGTATATTTAATCAATACTTATTTGCTGTATCTTACCGTGTAGGATCTGTGAGGTTTGGTGGAGATGTGGGCGCTGAAGTTCCCCGTATCAGGAGGGGACTCACCCTGAAAAGGACATTATTTCTCCTGCTGTTTGTAAATAATTTATCCAAGTGCAAAGCCAGTGTCCATTCCATGTCTCTCCTGGGTATTTATGTTCCTTCTGGGGAGGTGTGAAGCGGGGAACTAACTCTGGAGGAAGTTGTCACGAAGAGGGACGGTTACTCAGCTGCTGAATTACAGCCACCTCAAAAAAGCAGCTCTTGGATATTTTACCGTGTTAAAACTAATCTTAATTTGCTTCTTTTCCCTCCAAAAACTCCAGTGAGAGCCCCTTTGGAGTCCACATAGTCAGATGTGAGGAACATCTTCCATAATGGAGTGCGTTGGGTGGGTCAGGTTTTCATAGAGCCATGGAATCACAGAGACATGGAATGGTTTGGGTGGGAAGGGACCTTGAGGATCATCCAGTGCCACCACCTCCCACCAGCCCAGGTTGCTCCAAGCCCCCTCCAACCCGGCCTTGAACCCCTCCAGGGATGGGGCAGTTTTCACCCAGAAACTACTGGTTTTCTGTACGAGACCATTAATTTGTATTTTCTTCAAGACCCAAGGCAACCAGGGCACTGGATCTGTTGTAGAGTGAGATCATTCAGACCCTCACCTGTGGGTCTGCTCGGCGCTTTTCAAGCTCGACTCAGGGAAAAGTGTCATTAAAAAAAGGCACTCTCAAGTTCTAGGAGATAAAATCAGTTTTCAACAACCAGGGTTATTCTGCCAACACCCGTTGGAAGCAAAACGAGATCCCCTGAAGAGTACACAGGTATGGAGTTCCTTGCATTAGAATCACAGAAGGGTTAGAGTTGGAAGGGACCTTAAAGATCATCCAGTTCCAACCCCCTGTCCTAATTCTGGATTGAAAGGATTTTACCCAATGAAGAAATGCAAGGAGAGGGACTCCAAGAGTGGTATCCCCGTTTAAAGGCCGTCAGTGCAATGGGGAGAGGTCACAGCAGGACGGATGGGATTTCAGAATGGTTTGGGGACTCACCTGGGGAGGTCACAGGTGTGTCGGGAACGTCCGACGGATCCTCTCCCCGGAGCCATCAACCGACGTCGTTGTTCCTTCTGGGGAGGTGTGAAGCGGGGAACTAACTCTGGAGGAAGTTGTCACGAAGAGGGACGGTTACTCAGCTGCTGAATTACAGCCACCTCAAAAAAGCAGCTCTTGGATATTTTACCGTGTTAAAACTAATCTTAATTTGCTTCTTTTCCCTCCAAAAACTCCAGTGAGAGCCCCTTTGGAGTCCACATAGTCAGATGTGAGGAACATCTTCCATAATGGAGTGCGTTGGGTGGGTCAGGTTTTCATAGAGCCATGGAATCACAGAGACATGGAATGGTTTGGGTGGGAAGGGACCTTGAGGATCATCCAGTGCCACCACCTCCCACCAGCCCAGGTTGCTCCAAGCCCCCTCCAACCCGGCCTTGAACCCCTCCAGGGATGGGGCAGTTTTCACCCAGAAACTACTGGTTTTCTGTACGAGACCATTAATTTGTATTTTCTTCAAGACCCAAGGCAACCAGGGCACTGGATCTGTCGTAGAGTGAGATCATTCAGACCCTCACCTGTGGGTCTGCTCCGCACTTTCCAAGCTCGACTCGGGGAAAAGTGTCATTAAAAAAAGGCACTCTCAAGTTCTAGGAGATAAAATCAGTTTTCAACAACCAGGGTTATTCTGCCAACACCCGTTGGAAGCAAAACGAGATCCCCTGAAGCGTTCACAGGTATGGAGTTCCTCACATTAGAATCATACAAGGGTTAGAGTTGGAAGGGACCTTGGAGATCATCCAGTTCCAACCCCCTGTCCTAATTCTGGATTGAAAGGATTTTACCCAATGAAGAAATGCAGCTTTTCAAGCTCGACTCAGGGAAAAGTGTCATTAAAAAAAGGCACTCTCAAGTTCTAGGAGATAAAATCAGTTTTCAACAACCAGGGTTATTCTGCCAACACCCGTTGGAAGCAAAACGAGATCCCCTGAAGAGTACACAGGTATGGAGTTCCTTGCATTAGAATCACAGAAGGGTTAGAGTTGGAAGGGACCTTAAAGATCATCCAGTTCCAACCCCCTGTCCTAATTCTGGATTGAAAGGATTTTACCCAATGAAGAAATGCAAGGAGAGGGACTCCAAGAGTGGTATCCCCGTTTAAAGGCCGTCAGTGCAATGGGGAGAGGTCACAGCAGGACGGATGGGATTTCAGAATGGTTTGGGGACTCACCTGGGAAGGTCACAGGCGTGTTGGGAATGTCCACCAGATCCTTTCCCCGGAGCCATCAACCGACGTCGTCGGGATAAAGGGATGTTCAACTGAACTGAGACTTATTGGTGCTGGGGAAGCGCGAGCTGAGGAGCTGGATAAATTCATTCCAACAGAGCTGTGATTTCACAGAAGAGTCCAACCACCAGTTGAAGACAAGGGAGTCTTTAATGGGAAGGGGAGACACCTGGTGTGACAGCTCTGCCAGGCCACGAACTCACGCCGTGGCCAATAGGACAATCAGAAATTATTTTTTAAGGTATTTTTAAAAACGCTGAATCTCTGATATTTTTGCAACCACAGCAGACACAGGGACAGCCTTTTCTGCCCGTTCCCCTCACCCAGCACCACCACAACCCCCACAACAGGGCCCGTGTTAAGGCACAATTTATGTGCAACACATTGATGCAGTTACACTACAAATCGTGAGATGTTTAAAATGTGAAATATTGGGAAAAATCCTTAGGACGCAGCAAGCAAACGTTAGTTTTTGTGGGAGGGCGGCAGCCGCGTCTCTCCACGGTCACGGGGCCTTCGCTCCCCAGGTCTCTGGTGACGACCCCTCCATTCCAGGGCACTAAAACCCACTTCATCTTGGACAGAAGCAACTGATGGGAAATTCTTTCACAAACCATGAATTTTTATTTCTGAAATCCAACCCTTCCCCCCGCCCCAAACTCCACGGGGTCAAAACAAGGGAACACATTTTCCAAACAATACCCACAAAAAGCCAAACCTTTGGTTTCGGCACCCAAATATGGACAAAACTGGTTTTCTAGAGCTTCCAAAGCAGCTCAGCCTTTTTTCTTCCCCCCCATACATACCACAAACCCTTTGATAACACTCTAGAACATCAACAGAGTAAGATTTTAACTTTTCAAAGAGGGGGGAAAAAAAACCAAACTAAAAAAGATAGGAATTTATAATTTCTAGTCTCCCCCCTAATGTGGATGTAAACGGGGGCAGCGAGGGTTTTGTGGGACAGAGGCTGCTGAAACCCCCCTTTCTTTTACTTCCAGTTTTACAGCAGTTGCTTTTAAAATGGTTCTGCCAATTTTTAATTGCAACTTTAATTGCCATTTTATGGGACTATCAGGAATTTGCAACTCACTCTAAAGCAGCAACGAACCAA